GTTAAATCGTCCATAACTAAGACAAAGAGGTATGAGCTTAGTGCTGACCCCTGATGTAGACTTGTTGTTATTGAAAACTCACTCGCATATCCACTAGTTGTTCATACACTAGTTAACACTCCATCATACATATCTCTCACCAAGTCCATGTAGTTATATAGACACTCTTTTCTTTTCCAACACCCACTAAATCAAAACTCAATGTACTGTATCATAAGTTTTCTCTAGATCAATAAAAGACCATGTAGAGGTCTTTTACCTTCTACCTACATGGTCTTTAACCTTCATCCTAAACTTTTTAATCAGTTGCCTAAGTAGAAAAATAGCCTCGGTTGTTGGCGTCCCCGACATAAAATTAAATTGGTTTTATTGACATACTCGTCTCATGCCTTAGTCATTGCTCAATCACTCTCCCTTAGAACTTCATAGTGTGGTTCATAAGTTTGATCCCTCGATAGTTCGTAGAATTCTATATATCTCTTTTGTCTTTGTAAATAGGTACGACAATACTTTTCATCCATTTGTCTGGCATTTTATTTGTTCTCAACACCTTGTGGAATAACTTGGTCAACTAGTCGATACCAATCTTCCCTATGCACTTCTAAAACTCTATCGGGATACCATTTGGTCCTAAAACATTTATTATTTTCATAATTTTCAAAGCTCCTTTCACTTCTGGTATCCTAATCCTACGAATGTATGTATGACTTCTGCTCTCATTTATACCACCGATTCTTTCTATTGCTATGTTCCCATTGTGTTTGTCATTTAATAGTTTTTGAAAATAAACTCTCCACATTTTGTTGACCTCTTCATCATTCACTGAGACCCGTTGATCATCACTCTTAATGTATTTAGAGCATTGATAATAACAATTATTAATAATTATTTAGAGATTAAATAAAAAATATTGATTTAATAAATAATTTCATCAAAAATTTAACTAACAAATCCAACAAACAAAAAAGCGTCCAAAAGACAGTTACTAATGTATCTCACTCCCAAAAGACTATGTTTCGCAAAAAAAAAATGTAGTGGTAAAGTAAAGATAGCTCATTGCCAAATCTTCATTTTTTCCAAACCAAGAACATTATTGAAGAGAGAGTGTGATTCAGTTACTATATAGTTTTAATCAGATAAGAATCAACAACAGTAAAGTTTTAATATTTGGATTTGCTTGCATACATTAGATTTTTGGGTTTTCGTTATCTAGAATCCTACACTGAGTTCTTCATTTTTTTTTTTTCCCCCTAGTAGCAACTCTATAGTTAGGATTGTTGTTCTTGTTATTTGTTAATGTAAATTATTGTGTTATGTATTGTTGTCGTTGTTCTATTGTATGTTCCTAATAAGATCATTACATGTTTTTGTGTCGTAACATCTAGGGAAGCATACCATGCTAGTATATGATGAGAATTTAGACAAAATTAATAAAAAATGATTCTAATGTTACCAAAGACATAATGTAAAGTTATTGTTAAATAAATTCGTTATATCCTTATGGTAATTGCACTATACATATCCAAAATTTTCACTCCATTATTGTTAGACATATCTAAAATAGCCGTGACTCTTTAAATTACCTAATCTATTGCAACCCATGTTTTTTTCCCGACTTTTTGCATCCGGCTTTTTGGATCAAAATCAATCCCTTATCGACTTTTAATTTATCAATATATTATTATATCCCGACTTATGATGGAGACTTAGAGCCCCAAATTGATTTGCTGTAGTTAGGTTTGATCATGTAGTTGGGATCTGATCATCTTTTCGGATTCTGTCCTCTTTTGTATGGATTATGTTATGCTCTAAGGAATTCAAATCATGATGATAATCAATGGAAAACAAATTTACGAGGGCGAATATCGGTTAATTATAAATAATCTTGCACATCTATCATGGGAACCGATGGTGGATACCACTCTTATATACCGTATACTAAACACATGTGGTGAAAAACAAATTTATGCGGGTGAAAATCAGTTAATTATAAATAATCTTGCACATCTAACATGGGAACCGATGGTGGATACCACTCTTATATACTGTATGCTAAAAACATGTGGTGATTCACTATTTCTTGCAGGTCAGTACAAGTATAGATCTTTAGGGTTAGGATGGATTTAACAATTTTTTTTTTTTTAAAATGATTTTGAGCACCTCTAACAGTAGAGAGACGGTTACCAATGTACAGATTCCCCCTCTTCAGAAAAACATTCTTTTGGGTCTTTTATTTTTCAACTTTTTTTTCCCAGGGCCACCCTTTATACAGTGGATTTTTTGGATCTTGTGGGAGCAAGGTCCTCAATTGGGATCATGGATGTGACTTAGGTTCATCCAATACAGGCAAGTTAAACTTATCCATTATGACTCTTTGGGCTATAGCGGTCTAGGGCCTGAAAGGAGTTTAGAGGCACAAAAACCTATGACTGTGGGCATCGTATTTCAGAGAGGCTTTGAGGTTATATCCTTTATCGAGGTCGGAGATATGCTTGTAGATGCCTGGGATGTAGATGGATTCCTGTGTGAGTTGGTGGCTTATGAGGATGAGCCCAAATCTTTGACATTAATGTGGCCAGGCTTTGCATATGATAACCGCATTATGGGAAGCTACTTTCGAGGAAAACTTAGGTAAGCCATGCATATGTGCTAAAAAGAGGCCCCCATACCTCCTTATTATTGGGCACATGCCTGAAAGCATATAATCTTGTCCTCAAGGGAGCACCTGTAGTCTATAGTTCTATCTCTGTAATACTGTCACCTATTGACTAGCTTTAATCGACCAAGAATGAGCCTTGCTTATATGACTATAGGTCTCACTTCTATTGGGTCGATAAGTAGAGTGCCTTAGGCGCTTAATCTCATTTAATGGGTTTTTAATTGCGTCCAAACCACTTTTATTTGATAAGAATTGAAAAATAAATTTTGAATATTTTAAATTTTTTTCTAAAAGACAAAAATGAATAAAAAAAATAAACAAATTGAGAAATGATCAATGAGGACATAACATCTAAGCACATGTTAGGCCCAAATGGCCAATAGGCCTCGCAAGGGCCCATAAAGCGGTCCATGCCCTAACCAAATTGGCCCCACAAGTGATGACATGATAATGACATCTATACCATTCTCTGTCTTCTTAATTTCTGCACATTCCTTAGTTTGAAATTAATCCAAGTTTATGATGGACAATTTAGTGAATGGTTTCAAGGACAACCATGTGTCCGAAGATCCTTTTAACACGTGAATAGCTGAGTGGAAGAGACACATCATTAAGAATGAACCTATGGTATTTTATATATAAAGAGTAATGATCCTATAGGACCCTCTCCCACCCATGTTTGTAGGACCTCAAAGGATCATCATTAAAGTTGGCATGGATCTCTAAAAAAGTTATCACATGGGTGCAGGACTTGACTTTTCTATAGATCTGTGCCAAATTTAATGGTGATCCTTTGGGGTCCTACACACATGGGTGGGGGAAGGTCCTATAGGATCATTTCTCATATATAAAATATGAGTAGGTTCGTGACCAGTGATCAAGTGATTTATCTCAGCCTCGGGGTTTGGTTTGGATGCCAAAATAAAGAGTACGCTCGGAGGTAAGTTGGAATGGACCATACAAAAGATAAAACCATCGACTCTCAAACCACCATCGCTCTCTCTCCTTCTTATCACCGCTCTCTCCCCTCAAGCTACCACTGTCTCTCTCTCCTTCGTAGCAACTGTGAATCTCTCATCACAAAACCCACCACCGACTCTCTTCTCAACCCTTTTCTGTAAATTCAAGTCTCTATTGTCTCTATATCCAGCCGGTTAAACATAGAGGAAGCATATCTTCTCAGGTATGTTGCTCACCATCTTTTACAATTTAAAATATTACAAATAATCAATATTATAACCTTATTCATTTCCTTTCATCAAAGCTTCGTCATTAATAATATCATTTTTAGTTTTCTATTTACAGAATATTGTTCCGCACTGATAAAGGCAGCTCTAAAACAAGATCCCTCATAAGCATATCGACGTTCTTCACTTTCTCTAGCTCATCCATTTACATGTGTACTGTTATTCCTATCCACCTCTCTCTTTCTCTTATCTCTTTCTTATATATCTCGCTCTCTTTATACTCAACGCTTCACTAATGCCCTATAATATATTCACTCCTCTTATTATTGTATATTACACATTTTCCATAATAAAATATCTTCCTATCAAATTGTAGCTACTTTATTCTTAGCACATTTGCAAACCACGTGTAGAGCACGTGCAATTGGCTAGTATGAATTAAAGGCCTAGTAAGTAGAACACTTCCCCATATTCCTATCTGTAAATTGAATCTGGATTTCTCTCTCTAGAAGTAACATTTTCCGAGGAAAAGATGCCTCTCTACCTCATCCTCAGGTTCAAATTAAAGGTAAATGGAAACTAGGTATTAGTTATAGGTAAAGATATAAAGCAGATTAAAGGAGAATTATATGCAACCTAGAAGTTCTTAATAGAAGCATGCCCCAACAATGAACACATACTCCACTTTCAGTAAAGGGGTTAGGGTCGTAGTCGTAGTACTCCATACCCTAGTCACCACGGTATACTTTTTATTCCCAGCATTAACACCACTTTATTAATACATTTCAAAATAGTAACTTTTAATTTATTTAAAAATCGGATAGGGCCTGTCTTCCCTACTGAATTACCCAAAATGCCAAAAAAAAAATAGGCTTTAAAAAATTTGGACATATATATTGAAGGGCACAATAAGATTTCTGGAGCCCGGACACATCTTCTGGCAGGGTTTAGAGGCACGTCTTATGATTGATGCATTATAAAAACATGAAAAGCTTTCTATGCTCCCCTTACGGATAGAAGTCTTATCCTCCCCCCTATTTTTAACCATTGAGTTAAAATGCAGGGCTGGGATTAATCCACTTGAGTCGTCGCAAAAAAAGGGCACGGGTTCAACCGGTAACCCTATCTAAATAACTCGTACAAGAGAGAGAACCCCATTTCAGAAGTTAGAGAGAGAAAGCTCGTTGGACATAAAGGGGAAGCAGAGAGAGAGAGAGAGCGCTGAGGAAGCCGAGAGAGAGAAAGTACGGGACCTTGAATCCCTAATTTCTATGCAAAACCAAGGTTTTTTTGGACAACAGCTCTTCTTGCGCCTCCCATTTTGAGCCATTTTTTTGAAGCTATGGCGGGCAATCATGTTTTTGGATAGCAGCTCTTCTTGTGCCTCCCATTTTGAGCCATTTTTTTGAAGCTATGGCGGACCATCATGGACGTTGCTCCTGATTTGGAGTAAGCACATAGAGAAAGATAGCAATTCGAATTCATTAAATGATGATTTCTAATGTTCTTGTAGAAATCTTCAATTAACATGTCCGTTGCTTTGTGATCAGTAGAGGCCTGTCGTTTGGGACACTTCTAATCGGTAAACTTCTTCTAATTCTTATTGTTTTCGGATACAAAGTCTTGATCTCCCTTTCTTTTCATTTATGCTGATTTTGATTGTGTTTAGATGCAAATATCTTGCTCTCCCTTTCCTGTTTTTGCATAAATTTAGTACCAAATCAGTATGAGCACAAACAAGCACAAACAATTCATATGTACAATACACTCAAACAAATTAATATTTAAGATTTTTTTTCTTTAGAACTTATATCTACACTCTGTAATATAACAACATTTCCATCTCTAATATGTTTTATTTTATGCAATTCTTATTGTTTTCAGATACAAAGACTTGATCTCCCTTTCTTCTCATTTCTACTGACTTTGACTGTGTTTAGATGCAAATATCTTGCTCTCCCTTTCCTGTTTCTGCATAAATTTAGTACCAAATCATTATGAGCACAAACAATTCATATGTACAATGCACTCGAACAAATTAATATTTAAGATTTTTTTTTCTGTAGAACCTATATTACACTCTGTATTATAACAACATTTCCATCTCTAATATGTGCGGGACCTCGAATCCCTAATTTCTCTGCAAAGTCAGGGTTACTTTGGACAACAGCTCTTCTTGTGCCTCCCATTTTGAGCCATTTTTGTTAAAGCTAAGGCGGGCGATCATGGTTTCTTTGGACAGCAGCTCTTCTTGTACCTCCCATTTTGAGCCATTTTTTTTGAAGCTATGGCGGGCGATTATGGACATTGCTCCTGATTTGGATCTAGGGTTTTTGCTGGGTTGATTATGGTCGAGTAAACGCATAGAGAAAGAGAGCAATTCGAATTCATTAAATGAGGATTTGTAATGTTCTTTTAAAAATCTTCGATTAACATGTCTGTTGCTTTGTGATCAGTAGAGGCTTGCCGTTTGGGACACTTCTAATCGGTAAAATTCTTCTAATTCTTATTGTTTTCGGATACAAAGACTTGATCTCCCTTTCTTCTCATTTATGCTGATTTTGATTGTGTTTAGATGCAAATATCTTGCTCTCCCTTTCTTGTTTCGGCATAAATTTAGTACCAAATCATTATGAGCACAAACAAGCACAAACAATTCATATGTACAATACACTCAAACAAATTAATATTTAAGATTTTTTTTTCTTTAGAGCCTATATATACACTCTGTAATAACAACATTTCCATCTCTAATATGTTTTATTTTATGCAATTCTTATTGTTTTAGGATACAAAGACTTGATCTCCCTTTCTTCTCATTTATGCTGATTTTGATTGTGTTTAGATGCAAATATCTTTCTCTCCCTTTCTTGTTTTTGCATAAATTTAGAACCGAATCATTATGAGCAGAAATACACTCAAACAAATTAATATTTAAGATTTTTTTTTTTTAGAACCTATATGTACACTTTGTAATATAACAATATTTCCATCTCTAATATATTTTATTTTATGCAACAAATTTTATTAATAATTTTTTATATGGATTCTAGTACACAAATAATTTGTGTCTGAAGGTCAAAAGTAGTCTGATCAAATTAATATTTAAGATTTTTTTTTCTTTAGAACCTATATATACACTTTGTAATATAACAACATTTCCATTTCTAATATGTTTTATTTTATGCAACAAATTTAATTAAGAAATTTTTATGTAAGTTCTAGCACACACATAATTTGTGTCTAAAGGTCAAAAGTAGAATGATTTTGATCAAATACTAGCATTTAAAGTCGATTGTTCTTGTCAGACTACAATTAACTCGTGGCATTTCGTTCGGCTCATTGTAATCTAGTATTTCTTGGGAAATCTTTTTACAAATATTCCTAATAATGTCTAAAAACCAGATACTATTTGATCTTTCTTTAATTTTGACTGGACCCAACTAGGAAGTAGCTTTCCTTGGAATTAGTCTGGACCCAACTAGGAAGTAGCTTTCCTTGGAATTAGTTTAGTGATAGACATTGAAATAGCTATCACTTATCAGCCAACCAAAGACAAACTCAAAAAAGGATACACACAATATTCAAAGCATGTCATATATTGGCTTATATATAGGTCTACACTCCCATTGTAGGAAACAAATTTACTCCATAGTCCATATTAGCATTTAGCAGCCAAATTTAATGGAAGTTTCAACCAAAAGTATTTTCAACACAAGCAGAATATGTTATTGTGGCATTATGAATCCTTGATACGTGTTTTTGCTTATGGGGTCTAGTGAGAGAGCTAGTTCTTCTTTGAAGAATGATGGACATTTTTTGTTTTTGGATTAGAGGAAGAGTAATCCAATAAAAAATCTTTTATGGCGTTCCTCAAAAAAATCTTTTTTTTTAGTGATTTTTGTTTTATTTTATGTGAATTGTATCTTAAGAAACTTTCGAGCGCTCCCTCTCTATCTCTACCTATCTTATTGTGATATGTAGTAGTGAATTTTAATTTTTTTAGTTTTTTTGCTATCAATTTATAACTCAATTTCTAATTAGTACTTTTTATTTATTGTTATGTTACGTATAGATTTATTTTGAAATTCCTGCTTATACTTAAAGTTTGTGTCCATCTGATATAGAAATGAATATGTGTTAATTATTTATGTTTAGGTATTACTGATTAAAAGTTATAGACATCAATGAGAAGGGTGCTCAAGTGGTGACAATGTTGCTAATATGAAGCTTATTGAGCCCTACATACCCATTGAGTCACTCATACACCTGATTTATCTTATAAGATGGACCAAGATGAGCTCTAGAAAAACAATGCAAGAAGTCAAAGCTGAGGCCATATGTATATCTTAAATTTTCAATGACTATATCAGTTTGGATAACAATGCGAGAAATCAAAGCAGAGGCCATATCTTTAAGAACAAGTTTTTTTTACAAGCCCAATGGGCAATCCTCAAGCTCATCATCTTAGAAATTTTTTACAAGCTCAATGCTCAACAGTCAAATTCATCATCTTAGAAATTTTTTGCAAGCCCAATGCTCAACAATCAAGCTCTTCATCTTAGACATTTTTGCAACCCCAATGCTAGTGGAGAAGACTTTGTCTTGGAACGGAGCTTCGAAATGGAATTTTTGTATAGCTTCCATATGTTGTAAATTCATGTTACAAGTAGAATTTTGCATAGTTTCAAAGTGCATGTTGAATAGCTTCAAAATGAAAATTCTGTATAGCTTTTCATTTTGCAAATTGATGTTGCAAACAAAATTTTTGTATTGCTTTGAAATGAAATTTGTGTATAGCTTCCATATGTTGCAAATGATATGTAGGTCTCTCGCGCTATCCCATGACATAGTTATCTTACTATCTTTCTCACTCTTTGGGTATGTGTCCGTGTTTGTTCTCTCTCTCCTCCCTATGAACTCTATGGATGGTTTGCGCTTTCAATAATACTCCTTAGCTTTTAATACTAAAATAATAGTACTCCAAATTCATACATCAGATAGTATCAGGTAAGCAGTAGATATCAAGACAGAAGCATACATGCTCTCAGAAAATTACCCAAATTTGCTTCTAGTACCATGAGAAGTAATTAAAACTGCCATTGATTGCCCATTTTAATATTTTCACTACCTAGACTAAAATCCCTGAATCAAAACGAAACACCAAGCCTGAATTGAAAGAAAATTCCCTAGGAACACAGTTTGAAGTACTTGAATTGCAATCCATGATTCCCACTAGGAATTACTATGTATTTAAGGTCCTGTCTTAAATAGAACTCACCATGAAAAGACATTGTCTCAACTCCCAATTCACTACGAAAAAGACAAAATATAATAAATAGAATTCATTTGAGAAAAGTTACTGTCTTAAATAGATGTTACACATACATAGTGTTTGAGGGCAAGACACTATATCAAAATATGTCTGCAATGCAAAACTGAGTTTGTAAATATTTAACTACAAAACTTTAAATTACAAATATGTAAGAGGCCCCAATCTAAGTACACCCTTCCCTTTTACCTTTGGTCAAAGTTCCCATTTGAGTTCTTAAAACGTAGTCTGGTCTTTTCTGTACTTTGTTCTCCTTTCATTATCTTCTTCACCACCCTCCTCACCTTCTTCTTCGCTTTCACCATCCTCCTCACCTTCCGCTTCGCCTTCACTATCTTCCTCACCTTCCTCCTCATCTTCCTCTTCACTTTCACTCTTCTCTTTTGCATCTGGTATGCTCTTAAAAAATCATGGGCCACGACTACATGACTACTTGATTCCTCTTCGTTTTCAAGTGGGGCATTTAACCTCCTTATATAGGTGTGTTGCTGCAATTACAACAATATTTATATAATTAGAACTATTCTTGCAATTTTTGTATAAGATTTTTGAGAAAATAATTGCCAAAAGAAAACAAAATGGAAGTTTGATATATGAAGATTTAACGTTGACATTTACAGTAAAAAGGTCCAAATACCACTTAAGGAGTCGGCTAATTTCCACTATTATTTTATTATTTCCACTATTATTTTATTAATGGATATTTTAACACAAAACAATTACAAATTGATGGAAAAAGCAAAAATTCTCTAGGAGGCACACCATTTAAATTCTTTCTTTGCTCTTTTTTGTGATTTCATTATTATATTCAGAATAATAGACTCTTACAAGACCATGACAGTCTTGGTACTAGTTTGGAAGACAAAAATAAGTCGTCGCATCGAATTTTCTTACTGGCAATTGGGGCAAAACAGTTCTTCACGATTTTGTTCCCATTGCCAATAAGCAGTGCTATCAAAACAAGTTCCCATTGCCAATCAGCAGTGCTATCCAAACAAGCGGGTCCGATATACAAAACTGCCATGTTGATGTTCTATACACAAGATCCGAACAAGACACTAAAGTGTCAAATAAAGTGATAAGGACACCGAAATTCTTTTAGAAAAATTCATTCTTAATTTCTCTTTTGTTGTTCTAAGCAATCACAAAATGAATTTGTTGCGCTCAAAAGTAAAGTTATTATTATTATTGTAGGTGAAGCTCAAGTTTCTTAGATGGATCTGCACACCAGTTTGCAAAATTTATGTATATTCAGAAATATATGTAGTGATTGATAATAATGTTGCTTATTAATTGCTCTAGAAATAGAAAAGTTGATTTTAGTATGTAATTCTATTGTTTGCTAAATATTAGTTCTCTTCAAAATTAAAGAAAGATCATATAGTATCTGGCCTTTAGACACATAAATTATATAATTAGAAAGATTCGTAAAAGGATTTCCTAAGAAATACTAGATTGCAATGAGCCAAACAAAATGCCACGAGTTAATTGTAGTCTGACAAGAACAATCGACTTTAAATGCTAGTATTTTGTCAAAATCAGACTACTTTTGACCTTTAGATACAAATAATGTGTATACTAGAACTCATATAAAGTTTTTTTAATAAAATTTATTGCATAAAATAATACATATTAGAGATGGAAATGTGGTTATATTACAAAGTGTATATATAGGTCTAAAGAAAAACAATCTTAAATATTAATTTGTTTGAGTGTATTGTGCCTATGAATTAATGATTTGGTACTAAATTTATGTAGAAACAGGAAAGGGAGAGCAAGATATTTGCATCTAAACACAGTCAAAATTTGTAGAAAAGAGAAGAAGGGAGATCAAAGTTTTTGTATCCGAAAACAATAAGAATTAGAAGAAGTTTATCGATTAGAAGTGCCCAAATGGCAAGCCTCTACTGATCACAAAGCAGCATACATGTTAATCAAAGATTTCTAAAATAACCTTAGATATCCTCACTTAATGAATTCGTGATGCTACCAGATCAGTGAATCTCTAGATCCAACTTAGGAGCAACGTTCATGATCGCCTGCCACAGCTTCAAAAAAATGGCTCAAAATGAGAGGCGCAAGAAGAGCTGCTGTCCAAAAAAAACCCTGGCTTTGCAGAGAAATTAGGGATTCGATGTCCCGCGCTTTCTATCTCTTGGTTTTCCCTTTCTCAGTGCTCTCTCTCTCTATGCTTCCCCTTTTTTGTCAAGTAAGTTCTCTCTTTCTAACTTGGGAAATGGAGATCTCTCTCTTGTACGGGGTTATTTAGATAGGGTTACCGGTTGAATCCGTGCCCTTTTTTTTGTGACAACTCGAGTGGATTAATCCCAACCCTGTATTTTAAATCAACGGTTAAAAAGTGGGTGAGGATAAAACTTCTATGCTGTAGGTGGAGCATAAAAAACTTTCCCTTTAAAACAGCCCCAAAATAGAAGATTTATGACTAAAAAATTGCTGCAAACTCAGAATGCATGTAGATGTGGGAAATTTTGTGTGCCTAATTTTCTATTTGAAATTATTCCTAGGATGCAATAAAGATGCTCTGAAAAAGTTTTGGTGTTTTGGTTGTTAGACCAAGTGCACAATTTTGGTTCTGCAGGACCATCATATTTGGGGCGATTTTATAATCTTTTATCCATATTTTGAATTTTATTATCATTCAAATGGCTGTCGGCATAGAGATTCTACTGGGTTTGCTCATATGAACTATAAACCAGGGTGGAAAATGCATCTTGTCAGTAACCCTCAAACATAAAGGGAAAGGAAAACACAACCGCAATAACATGCTTGTTTTAATTAATTCTTTAATAAAGATCTAGGGACAAAAATTGTACCAAAGGAACCTAAAAGTGATTTTGAGAATCCATTGGAAATGATTAAAATTTCTCACATTTATTGATGCAATAACTTCAATACAGAAGCTCTGAATTTATTCCTTGGATGCAATTAATTCTCAAACTTGTTGGTAGACCCTTTGAGGGAAATGTTTAACCCCAACATATAATTTATATGTGACCCCACTTCGTAGCCGCTCAATTTAAATCGAATGGTTACAATTGTTCATACTACAATGTCATGCTAAACACTTTTTATTTTTTGTTTTTTCTCTACAAAACATTTTTAGACGAAATTTTGGACGTCCCATCATAAAATTAGGGCAAACTTGGAAAAAATAAAAAGCAAACATTTTCTGCAAAAATAAATGACCAAAATTCCCCTACAGTTTTTAGGGGTATTTTGGTAATTTTTATCACTGGATTTTTTTGATAATTTTTTTATTTAAATCATGTGTCCCCCTGTCATATCTGTGTATTCCCTAAATTTTACTTCAAAATTATTTGTAAAATAATAATAAAAAAAAACTATGAGCCCTCTGATCATAGAGAGCTTGTGATCATATTTTTTTTTTGGCCAAGGTTCAACAACTTCATTAAATCTTAAAGGGAGATTACATCATTAGAAAAAACAAAAGAAGAGAGAGAAACACCCTTTTTTGCTAATGCATCAGCAATGTCATTAGCTTCGCGGTAGATGTTCACAGACACGTTGACTTACAACTTTGAAAGATCAAAGACGTTTACCTTTTCGAAGGGCAATGGGAAGAGACAAGTCTAAAACAGAGGTACTCGTCGATACGATAGGTTGATTTACGCTTACAAGTCATTATAGGCATAAAGCCTAATCTGAATTTGGAAGACAAACAATACCAATAGATGAAAGAGATAGAAAGACAATCCACCACATCCAAAATTTGCGACCAAAGTGAATGCAATTCCCATGGAACGCTCTGCTCCTTTTTGCACCACCGAATAACATTTAGGAAGTCCCCTTTGATTAAAAAATTACGACCTAAATTCTTCTCAATGAAAGTTTGGACACCCCTTAACAACGCAGTGAGTTCCGCATAATTAGCCGTAGCAACACCAATAGGACCTGCATAAGAAAACACAACATTTTCATAGAATTCTCTAATAACTCCTCCAATACCTGTAGGTCTCGAGTTTCCCATAAAGCTGCCATCAAAATTTAACTTAAAACTTAAAAAAGGTGGGGCATACCATAAACATTTGGGTCTGCTTGGTCTAAAACACAGAAAAAAGATTATGAAGATTGACCATGACATCAACCTTAGAGATACCCCACCTATCCTTAGCCACTGATAAAGAAAACCAGATTGATAACTTGATAAGGTGAATAAGCTTGTTTACCGGCAACTCCACACCCTCAAAAGTCCACCTATTTAGCTCATTTCATACTTCCCAAAGGATCAGACCTTTAGCAATCTTCCAAATCGTAGCACTCACTTTGGGAAGGCACATGATACTAAATTATGAAACTAACCCAATCATTTTCTGAGGCAGCAAAAGAAAAAAACCAACCTCTCTAATAAGCTAGTGCCAAATCTGTAAAGTCTACGGACAATGGATTAAGAGATGGCCGACTGATTCACTATCTTGTATACAGAACAAACATAAATTAGGTAAC